GTTACAGTTCCTAGTAGCAGTAGTACATTGGCTTTTTACAGTGCGCTTCACTGGATACGTGGCTACTGACTGAGAACAGAAGAGGCTTTCTTCTGTCAGTATTTCTTATTTATCTGTCAGTGTCAATACTGTCAATAGTGTCCTACACTGACTGTCATTCTAAGCTTTATTTTGATTTTCATTGTATTTGTCAATAAAGGAAGCTTTCACACAAAAATTATATTAATTTTTAAATTTCTAATTTAGATTTACAGTCACATTCAATCCTTGTTAACTTTAGCTTTGTAGTTGATCGTCGCTTTGCCATGGGAAGTACTGCGAAAGCCATAATGACTGGTTTTATATGTAGGTTATGCTCTAATCAGAAAAAAATTGTGATTCACCTCTATACTCAAAGGGCCAAAAAATTGGAGTTGCTGAAGAAAATCAAGCTATTACCACTTGATGTATGTTCTACACAATATGTAAGCATATTGGTCTCATTATATTATTCTTTATTTTCAGTTGACAAGATATGATAATTTACCAAAAACTATTTGTGAAGAATGCATCAACCGTTTGGAAATACAATATAATATGATTCAGAGAATCAGGAAAAGTCATGCTATACACCGTCGACATCGGATGTATCATGTAAGTCTACACACTATTTATTTGAACTCAGTATAGAACTTTCATTATGTGTATTGTGTACCTAACCAACCCACCATATTTTCCAGAGTAATGGTAGATGTCCTGTTGAATGTCCATTACGAGGTACTGTGGACCCCTCTTGGCCTGAAATGGCCCTAGAGGAATCATCAGTATAGTTATCCATTACCTACTCATTCAAATTGTACATAGCTAATTAGAATATCTTATACCTCATTTCTGATGAATTACATAAACTTGTATTATTTTGGCTAATTCAGTTGATTACAAATTTTAAGAACCTACCTAGTGAATATTATTTCAACAATACACTTATTCACTACCAAGAGTTCTTTTGGCCTAATTTCACACAATATATTTTGAGGTCTCTTAAACCAGTATACTAATTTAGAATACTTTTTGTACACAAGCATAAGTTCCATGATATCACCATATCACTGATTATTTGATACTCAATCCATCACTGTATAATCTCTGATCCATGTAATGCCAGTTGACATAGATATCTATATACAGTGTGTCCAGTTTTTCATGCTTCTGCATGATATCTCAGTTATCTTTGGAGATATAATGTTGTGGTTTTCACCTAACTTTTTTGGGAAACAAATGATGCTGCAAACAGAATTTTCAGCTCATTTTTTGAAGATACAGGGCAAAGTTGAAAATTCTCACTTTTTGAGCCCCTTCCCTTTCCTGGTTACTTTTCAACTCATCAGCAGGATGAGAACAGTCTTTGGAGAAAGCTGGACATTCATTCATTTATTCAAATGTTTTGATCAATAGTAACTTTTTATTTTCACAAATTTAAGGAGCATTGTAATATATATTCATTACAAAATTCAATAAATATCTCCTATCCTAAATATAAAACAAGTCAATTTTTGAGAAACTCTTAGGTATTTAAAAAAATATTGTTGGCATATATGTACAAAGCTGATACAAAACCAATTCTTTTGTGCCACTTTCATTTAAAATATATTAACACTTATTTACAGCTATCAATGAAATTAATATTATATTGTCATAATTGAAGAAAAACTTGTATCAGTTTATTAAAGCCAAGAAGTTCTGTGAGGATAATCTTCAGATATGTTTAAAAAATATATTGAACAAAAACTTCTCTAGGCCATCCTACACAATCAGTCCAATAACCCTACTAAGCATATAATTAACAGTTAACTCTGGAGAATTTGATAATACAATATTCACCTCCTAGAAACCTGATATAGAAGAGAAAAAATCCAGTGAACAAATGGATTTCATACAGTGTGTCCACTTTAAGAACTTACCACCCCTGTAAAATCGTTGATATTATCTGATAGATTTCCATAAACATTTTCTTGTTGGATCGGTATTTAAAATTATGATCCAACAAGAGAGTGATTTTATTCTAGCCAACTGTGACCAATTTTATTGACCCCTATTTCAGGGTTTTGTTCTCAAAAAATAATGATGGGTTCTGAATCAGGTCACTTGAAACAAACCTGTACTGATTCTTATATATCAACATTGAACACAGGGAGTCCGAAAAAACTAATCATTATTTTCTTTGAATACATGATCAGAAAATGTATAGTACTGTCGTATTTTGGAAAGAGCTAATGATAAATTAGTATTAAGGACTACTTTGAACATATCTGTACTGATTTTCATTGTTCAAATATGTGTCATAAAAAAAACATGCAATATTTTTCTATCATTTAATTAAAAAAACAATGATAATTTGTTTTTTCGGGCACCCTATGTTTAATGATGATGAAAATCGGTACAGGTATGTTTCAAGTGATCCTGATTCAGAATTCATCATAATTTTTAAAGTGAAGAAATATCATGATAAAAAATATTGCTTATATATTTCATTTATTTTTTCTTAGACACATTGTATATTCAAATGATGAAAATTGGTAGACAAGTTTCAGGTAATCCTGAATAATAATATGTCATTGGTTCTTCCCAAAAATACCATGGTACTACATTTTCTGATCACCTATCAAAAAAAATATTTCGGACACCCTGTGGTTTGTGATGATGACAATGACAGGTATGGTATGTTTCAAGTGATCCTGATTCAGAATCCATCAATATTTTTGGTCCAAGAATGGAATCACTTTATTGTTGTTTGGACATTTCAAATACCTATCAAACAAAAAAAGCTTCACAATTTGGCACTGATAAAATCTTATTTGAGCAGTTGGACACGTAAAAACAGTATATCAAATCCAATCAATGCGATTTCTGGAGTCCCCCAAGGGTCTCACATTGGTCCTATACTGTTCTTAGTATTCATAAATGATGTTATTGATTTATTTCAAAATTTCATAGTATCACTCTATGCTGACGATTTGAAATTTTATAAAAAGGTAATTTGTTTGAATCACTGCCAGATGACTCAAAAAGACTTGGAGAAGTTTTGCAACTTTTGTGAACTGAATTTACTGGATATAAAATGTTGAAAAATGCAAGGTGATGCGTTTTTATAAAATACAAAATCTAATTGTATGTGATTATTTTATTGAGAATGTAGATTTGCAGTCTGTTGATTATATTTATGTGAGTTAGGTGTTGTGTTTGACAAAGACCTCAGTGTCAACCACCACATAAATAGTATTTGCAATAAGGCCACTCTATGCTGACGATTTGAGATTTTATAAAAAGGTAATTTGTTTGAATCACTGCCAGATGATTCAAAAAGACTTGGAGAAGTTTTGCAACTTTTGCGAACTGAATTTACTGGATATAAATGTTGGAAAATGCAAGGTGATGCGTTTTTATAAAATTCAAAATCCAATTGTATGTGATTATTTTATTGAGAATGTAGATTTGCAGTCTGTTGATTATATTTATGTGAGTTAGGTGTTGTGTTTGACAAAGACATCAGTTTCAATCACCACATACATTGTATTTGCAATAAGGCCTTGAGAATGCTTGGATTCGTGAAGACATATTCAAAATATATCCAATATTGAATCCATAAAAACATTATATCAATCGTTGGTATGTAGTGTTCTGGAATACAATAGTATAATTTGGTCGCCATTTCATCTTGCTCACAAGGAAAGAAGGAAAGACTTGAAAGAGTCCAGAAACGCTTTACAAAATTCATAATCTAAAAAAATGAGAATGTCTTTTCAATGAACATTCAAACTCTAGATGACGGACACAAACTTGCTCTGATCTTTTTTCTGCACAAATTTATTAACACTGCTCGCCAGCTGCGATGGAATCACTAATATTTCTGGAAAATACTATCAGGAGACAGAAAATAGGTTGAAAATGACACTCAGTGTAATTACATTAATCAAAGGATTTCTAGAAAACCATTTATATCGTCGAGATCACAAAAATGCTGAAGAACTGCGTGAAGACGTTATTTCAGCCATGCATTCCAAAAAGTCACACCGATTCACCTTACTAACGCAGTGAATTCTGTGAGAATTTTGCTTCGGCCAGAACGGAAGACAATTTGAACATCTTCTATAGAGTTATATTTCTCAACGCCACTTACTAATTTCCTAATTAGGTGAATTATTATTTCTCTTATTTCTGTATCTTAAATAGTTCGAATGAATTGATAACAATGATATCAAATCAAATAATTTCTTTTTTATATCAAATATTCATTTGTCTGCGAAGAAAATTCGAATTGCGAATTTATGATGAATCCAACCACAATGATTATTGGAAAAGATATGGAGGTGTAACCATGAAAAATGTGACACGCTGAATATATTTTTGCGAATATTTCTGAACTAATGGAAGAAAAAGGTATATTTTCTAAATTGGAAAGCCTGGGACTATCTAACTGTTCCAAAATGAACGGGGTGTTCCATAAGAAAAAATATAATTGGATGCCGTATCTTTTAAATAACACCCTGTATAAAATTTCTAATGGTTCCAATAAATTGTTCACATCATACTATATGAATAAACTTTCGGGAATTTACAATATTCCCCACCATAAAGCACTCAGAACATAAAAACGAAATCGGCGGTTTTTCAATTTCCCCCTGTACCACTGAAACGAATGGAGATATCAAAATTCTGAATGTGCCATTCTAGGTTTCTTTAAAATCGAACCCATAACATGTATATCGGTTTTTCGATAACTCCTTTAGTTATTGAGATAGTCCGTGAAAACGCCCAATTTTGCCCACCCTGTACTTTGAATTGAATAAATGAATAAATAAATGGAACATTCATCAGATAATGAAGATTTTACAGGGGTGGACAAACTGTAGATGCTTTTCGATGTACTTTTCCCACATGTTTTATGATGATCGGCTTAGCAAGATGAATCAGCGTAAGGACCCCCCCCTGAATCTTCTTTGAACAACGTCCTAGAATAAAAATTATTTTCTGGTGAACCCTCGCCAGAGGGAAGCGATACTAGCGGCGGCGCTGTTCACCAAACCGCCTGCCATGCTGCTGGCCTGCTGTGTCGTTATCATCTGGGGGGCCTGGCTGATTGCAGGCCCCGCTGCTATCTCCGGGCATTGCACGTGAGGCACCTAAACGCATGGAAATTCAAACATATACAGGCTGATTCACGGTGGATGGCACATTAGACGTTTCTGGGGAACGCAACAGGATTATAGTGAAAATTTCACACCAAACATTTTCGATCAATTTGAAGCCTGTATTTCGTATCGTTACCATAGCAATTAAACAAATTTCTTGGAATTTTTTTTCTCCTCCTTGGGGGACAAAGCCATGAAATTACACTGGATTTTTTTTTACTTTGATAGGTTAGATGACATTTACATTCAACTTCAGATTATTTCGAGTTCATTCTATAAGTCAATGAATAAAAATAATTTTTCAACAGTTTATTATGTAGGTATAGACGTAGTAGTAGTAGTAGTAGTAATGCATTTATTTGACATAATAGCTACATATAGGAACAATTTGCCTTATTACAATATGAACAGGAAAAAAATACATACATAACTCACCTTAGCATTACATTTTCACTAGCTGCGAGGTACCCGTTTATGCAACATATGCTCATAATGAACTAATTATTCGAAGTTATGTGATCTGGTTTGATTTTCCAAATTTTTACAGGTTGTTTAAGAATATGGATACATTTTGAATATAATATCTGAGGCGATTCACAAATATTTTTGTGGAAAAAATGATCATTCAATGATCTAATCTTGCAAATCAGTCGTTTTCGCTAGAACTATAATGTAATTATAATGAATAGTTAAAAGTGTGTTGAGGTGTTGCATGAACGCATTCTATGAAATAGGAGTTTTCAACATTCTTGATTTATAATATAATGAAAATGTAATTATAATGACTATTGCATGAATCGGCCTTAAAACAATTTTTTTCAATGACGGGAAAAAAGTTTGGCATTTCATCTCTGTTGGCAGGTTATAAAATGTCACTTTCCATAAATTAATTTTTTCCCGTGGGAAAAAAGTGAGTTCTTTTTTTCCGGATATATATCACATATATATATACACTGTTGATGGCTTTTGTTGTGCAATAGTTCCGAAAAATGAGTCAATAATACCCTCTCCGAGAAAGAACTGCACAAGTCCTTTTATCTTCCATTTGACTTCGCGGTTACGTATATTACTAAACAACCACTAAATTCGCAATTTTTTGAAATCAAATCATAGAATTAGACTGACAGAAGTGACATCAGATATTTGATTACTTCAAAAGAATGATAAAGGTGCCTACAACGTAGGTGTCCCTACTGTTAAAAACTTAAAATTTCACGTCGATAATCTTCAGATTTCAAAATAATGTCTAATCTTCTCAATATTGATTCGTTCTTTCCTCTGTCACAGAAAAAAATAGTGTTCTATACACGGGAAAAAATATTACATTTTAGCTCACACAACCTGGAGCTAAAATCTACTATTTTTTCCCTTGTATAATGAATTACTATTTCTCAGGAGCCGTTTGAAATGGTTAATGTTATCACAGTTTTTTATTGTTACAGGTAACTAAAATTCAGATAGACCCTTGTACAAAACCGAGTTATGCATTTGATTTGAATTGCATCGTTCAGGCAAAATAAAATCACTTTGATTTCTGGTGTGATAACTATGTATATCGCTGAATACCTTCAATCTGTCACATTCTACTACAGGTACTACTATCGTCTTGAGTATTTTCAAAATATTCGTGTTCCCGAAAAAAATTCCTGAATTAATTGAAGCTCTCGTGATATTATAAGTGAAAATTTGGTTTCTTGTATAATTAGTTGTGTTCTATCGACATAAAATATTGTCACTGCTAGACCCCAAAATGTTATAGGTCAGTGAAATCAGCTTTTCGAGGAGAATCTGAAAATGGATACAGGGTATCCCATTTAAAAGATCAAAGTTGTTGCTACTTTTTAATATAAGCGGCAACGTCGCAGCGCTGAGAATATTTTAGGTCGATAGAGCACAACTAATTATCCAAGGCACCGAATTTTCAGAATAATCCCAAGTTACGTTCTCCAGAAACGACGTCTGATGTGCCTTCAACTGTGAATCAGCCTGTATAAGAGACACAATAATCCATATGGTCAAGAATGGGCGAGTGGACTGATAATGAATTATAGGCATTCAATTACTCCACTGTGTTGCTAGGAACCGGAATTAATTTTTGCAACAGTTCTCACGCTTCTTTTATGTATAAACAAATTCTATGCTTTGTTTGAAATTGTTGAATTTCAGAACTCATTTCAAACGAACCGTCATAGCAGCCATTTGACGATACGTCGAATAAATGGTGACCTCAGTTTTTATGCTGTTCAGTTATTGGTCAGATAATCTTCCATTTCCATTCACGAAGCAAGGTTGTCAAGTCACCAATTATAATCAAGTTATCAAAGAGATGTTGCAGTCCTGTCGTTGAATAAAACATAATAGGAGGAACCCATGATATTATAGTTCATTCTTGACTTATGTCGAAATATTTCTTATTCTCCATAACAACATATCATGTGAATGTTGGAGGCTTGGCAACATTGTGCTGAATGTTGGGAACTGGCGAGACCACGCCCACAATTCGTGCGCTGTTGGCACGTTCACCGATTAAAATGTCCTCAAGTGTGAATTGACATAATTATTATTTACACAAATATATTATAAGCAATAAACCTCAAATCATAAGGGAACATTTTGAGACAATTGAATTCGTATTGCTAATCAAGAACATTACCGATACTTGATTGGGAATCTATGAATTATGGAATAACTATTATTTCTGAAGTTCCCAATCGCATTTCAACACATGGCGACTGTGCTATGGTTTGCCCCTACTTAGGAAATTGTGGCGTCAGTTTCAATAGGCCTTTTCATATAGAGACGCATGCGCTCGTTTTTAGATCCAGAATTTGATTGGTTAATGCGAAGGTGAAGTCTCAATAGCTATAGTATGGCACATAATTCTGATTGGCCATTCCGAATATGGCGGTTTTTATTGACGTTCTGTCAAACGTCAACAGTGTCAACCACCATGGGCATTCGTCATTGAGAAACAACGATAACAATATAGTATTCTCGTTTCTATATTCCTGGTGTGTTTAATTGTATTATATTAATTTAAATCGAAAAAACCATTACTTATTCATTACTGAAGAGTGTGGTGCAAGTGTTTTGGTGAAAATGACCACCACTGTCTTTGGATGCGAGATGTAAACACAGATTGTCATTTGTCATCTGAATGAAAAGGCCTATTGGTGGTAAATTTCTAGCTGTTTGAAAATAGCAATAGAATTATTGATGATTTTAGCACCTAAAAATCGACCGAAAAATTCTTAAAAAATATGAAATTGAAAGTTATGTGAGTGGTGATTCTATTTAGGAAATAAAACAAATTAGTCCACTCTCCTAAGTTCATGAACACATTTTTTGAGGAAGTTTTGTTGTTCTACTCACAGCTTCCCATTCTACAGGAAAAGAGTCACCTTCCTCAGAGTCAGAATCTTCACTTATTTTGAGATTATCCGTCAAGGGTTGTTCTAAGGCATTTACCTTATGGAGATCAAATTCCATAGGCCCTTCTCTGGAAAAAAATAGTGAAAATATCAAATCATTTTACTTCAATGCAAAATTATATAGTGTCTTTCAGAAAGTTGGGATCATGATCATATGGGAAAAAATGTTTAATGAAAAACTCACACACCTAACATTTTCCACCAATTAGAAGCCTGTTTTTAGTATCATTACCATAGCAAGTAAACAAATTTCCGGAAATATTTTCTTCCTCCTTGGGGAAAGGAGCATGAAATTTTACTGGAAATTTTTCAACCTTATAGGTTAAATGACATTGACATTAATCTTCAGATTATGTGGAATTAATTCAATAAGTTGATAAGTTCCTTGCAAAAATAATATATCTACCAACTTTAGCTAAATAAACTTGTGAAAAATTGAGAGATTGAGCTATTATGACTTATTTTTTTAATATTTCATTAAACTGAAGTCAGTTAATTATATTTCATTTACCCTGAGAAAATATGTTTGTGAAAAACTGAAAAATTAAGTTACTATTGACTTATTTTTCATTATTTTGTGTACCTAAAGTGAGTTAATTGTGTGAATTTCATCAATACTACATACTGCTTCAGTTCCCTGTAACAAAATATGTTTCCACCAACTTGAGTGGTACCAAGTTAGTCAAGAATTATGGTTTCAACTACCATCAGCTGCTTCATTAATATGCATTTGCTTAACTGAAGTCCATATTTTGTATATTGCTAAGTGTAATCTTATACTGGTATTTTTTCAATAATACTTCTGTGTAAAATTTTTTCAGGGAATACAATTCTAGAGGTTCAATTAAAAACCGGAAATTTTTGAAGCTCTTGTGGTATTATAAGTGAAAATTTATTTTGAAATTTAACTGGAGCATCAAGTTTTGGTTTTGAAAAGATGAAAAATTGCTTTTTCAGTAGGTATCACATGACTGACTAGCTACCTTGATGTCAAGATACATTTTTTCAAAAAAATCACTGAAAAGTTTGAAAATGTTAAATGAAAAAAGTTGTTTCTATTGAAAAAGCTGTTTCTCTTCCGATTTAATTAATAATTATGGACAAAATTATGATTTTTTTTTTTCAGAATATAATGGTTCTGCTTAAAATTTTTGCTGTTTGATGTAAAGTTGAATTATCATCAAACATTTAGGAGTGAAATTTGTATAAATGGATTTTTCAGTAGGTGTCACATGACTGACTAGCTACCTTGATGTCAAGATACATTTTTTCAAAAAAATCACTGAAAAGTTTGAAAATGTTAAATGAAAAAAGTTGTTTCTATTAAAAAAGCTGTTTCTCTTCCGATTTAATTAATAATTATGGACAAAATTATGATTTTTTTTTCAGAAAATAATGGTTCTGCTTAAAATTTTTGCTGTTTGATGTAAAGTTGAATTATCATCAAACATTTAGGAGTGAAATTTGTATAAATGGATTTTTTCAGTAATAAAGTTATGCCAAAGTCATCATTTGAAATATCATCCATATGATCCATATGATGTCAACTCTCTGTAAGACACTGTAAATATTTGGAGAACCATGAAATTTATCAATGAACATGAAAGTAATGGAGAATTCCAAATAAATTTCCTCATTGGCATATTATTCACCTTCCCAAATCACAGTTTCCATTCTCCAATAATTGCAAAATATTGTGGATGGTTTCTGTTGATTGCAAATCACAAAGTTCCACATTTTGTAACAAACACAGATACAGTATATTGGCATTCAATCTGGCAGTTCTTCTGGCAAATTGTTGTTCACTCATGTAGCTATTGCAAAAATCACTGAAACAGGAATTTACACAAGCATAAACATTATTTTGTGGAAATAAGGCAAACCATCACAAAAAACAAATTTTGAATGTATGCTAAGTATGATATTCAGAAAACACTGATGGTCAGATGATAGTGTTCACAGTGAAAGATACCTTACTAGTTGAATACCTACCTGTATTGCATTTTGTAAGGAAGCCTGATGTTGAAGTAAAACGACAAAATGTTGACTAACTGAGCAGTGTAAGTCAATGCAGCACTGATGCTAAATGCAGGGTTCAGTTCCACTGAACTAGTCATGTTGGAACCGGGTACTCCATCTTGGTTCTGAGCAACTAACACAAAAAAGTAGAAGACCTAGCTGAATTTGTCAAATGTGAGAGATTTATTTATTTACCCCAGATGTTGTAAGCTGAATAATTTCCAGATCCAGGTAGGGTGGGACCAACAATACAATATTTCATTTCTCCCATATAATCTGAATATTCCCACCTATCACTGATAAAAGTGGTCTGTGAAGCTTCTGCTAGAGCACTGACCATATCATCACTAGAAGATTCTGTTTCCCTAAAAAAAGTTATTGGCATTGAAAAAATCCTAGTAGGTAAAAGGTGATAACATACATTGTTGGTTTGACTGTTGATATTGGAAAAATATACTTGAACAATTGTTGTATTCTGATTTTCACAAGTTTCTTCAGCTCCTCTTGCTTTTCTCTGGTAGTATCTCTAATTTTTTCAACCTTTTCTCTACGTACTGCCACATAGTTTTCAAGTTCCTGTACTTTATTATCATACTTGGGCAGGCTCCTATTTCGTTTCTCATTTTTATCTTTCAACTCCAGAAACTTCACTTCATTTGAAACTTTGCTCTGTTTTTTGTTCTCTAATGCTGATTTTAGGACCTTTGTCCTATCCCTGGCCTGCCTAATTTTGGAATTCTACAAATATGGCATTGTAAAACAAGTAAATTAGCATCATTACTATTTACCAGGATATCAAATTTTCGTCTAGCTTCAAGTGAACTAAGACAGTTTTTCTCTATGGTTTTCTTACTATCCTGTAGTTCCAGTAGAGCTTTTTGTTTATCAATATACCTAGAACAACATCAATTATAATTGAATATCTATGAACATTCTATGACAGGGTCTGATACAGTACCCTTCAGTAACTCTTTGCCTGGAACTGTAAAAGAGGCCACTGTAGATGCAATCTTTGCAATAAAATACTTTTCTGAAGTTATGGCACAATGGACACTTCTGTCTGTTGAGGCTCAGTCTGCTGCCACTGTCTGTAGACGTTGATAAATGGAAATCTTTAGGAGCTATGCTATCATCTGAACTGCTGGTGGTGGCCATAACAGGATTTCAAAATCTCACTTGGAATTTGGATTCAACCATTTTTACTAAAAGTTAATGCCTCCTATTTATCAGAACAACAGAAAATATTTAGGAAGCTTAATAATTCGATTAGAAACAATACAATAGTTGATTTTTTTCCTTCTGACCTGACTACTGGGTGATGGGTGATATCCACAAATCACGAAAAATGGAGCGGGAAATTTGAATTATTTAGAAGTATCTCGACTCTCTATTCTAGCATAGCTTGAATTTATATAATTATGAAACCCAATAGGAAATGTTCAGTAGAAAATCATTTTCTTTGAATTTATCATTACATGTTTTCTTTCATTAGGAAAATTTCATATTTCAATCTATTTTTTCTTCTTCTTCTTCTTATCTTCACAATATAGTTTCTTTTCATTTTTTTCATGGGAAGTGAGGTTTGTAAGAACGGAACCATTCTACTCATTTTTTATTTTATCAATCAACATAGATGCATGGTGCAAGCATTATTTGAACTACTAAGAACGGGATGGTAGGCACAAAGCACAAAGGACAGGTTAGGTTATGTTATCTTGGCGGTTGTGGCGGTTAGCTGTTGCCCCTGCACGTCACCATTTCTTTATCATGTAGAACAAAATAAAATAAACTCCAGAACGAAATCATGTATGTATAATATATATTTATTATAATTATCAATTGTTTTTGATTTGTACAATCATACAATAAAGTAATGCACTGGAATTAAATAAAAGCATAAAGCATTAACAACAGTAGAAAATCTCAACATTTCTGATACAGATTATGGTATCTGATCTAGCAATTAGCAGCAGCAAATACAAATCCAAAGCTTTTTAAATCATAAAGGAGTCTATACATGACCTGTAACTTGATGTACCTATACATTTTTGAATGCAATTTTTTTTACTTATTAAATATAGAATCATCTTTTCCTAAAAGTAGGTATTTTTCAAAAATGTTGTATCTCAAAGTATGATTCATTGACTTGATAAAATATCACTGATAGTTATGGTTTGTTTGTACTTTTGTATGGAAGAAAGACTAATCATATTCACTTTGTTGCTTCTGGAGGACAGTCTGGTTGGTTATTTGGATGAGCTGCAATGAAGGCAGGGTGGATCTCAAGCTCCCTGTCAATCCTCAATATGATCGGGTAAGGACGTAAGTCTACGTGAAATCTTCTAGCATTGAATACCTGCAAACATGACTATTGTATGTTCCAGGTATATGGTTATAGTCCCTTATTGAAAATCTCAGCACACCCAATATATTTACTAATGAGTTGATATGAAAGTTTCAAGCATAATCTTTTTCAACAAATGACTGCCAAAAGTTGCTGATGGATATTTTGGCAGTTTAAACTTCTCCTTCCATTGGTAAGTATAATGCAAAAACCTTATAGCTATTTCATCTAAAGCCTAGAATCATGTAGAAAGCATTTGGGGGAAACCATATGGATCTTAATACACACTTAAATCTATGGGGAAACATTCAGACAGCTACCTGTGGTATCAGACAACAATCTGCCATTGTAATATCATCCCCAACACAATACTTTGCAGCACTAGCTGACAATAATTTCTCTACTGCTCTGAGTCCCCTCTTTATCCAATGCTTGGCCCATTCATTCTTCTTTTCCTCACCAACATGGATGAGAACTGTTAAATTCTGGAGTGGCTGGATACCAGATACAATCACCTCACATATTTCTCTCACCTGCAAAATATCACACATCAAATATGTTTATTGTTGTGGGACATAAAAAGTATAAGGAAGTAGAAGGTACAATAATTTGCTACCTTAGCTCTCTTGATGCAATCATTTGGTAGCAAAGGCCTATGGGGCCTAGTTTCTTCAAGGTAATGCATGATGCTCAAGGATTCCACTAGAGTGGCGCCATCTATGTGCAGGGCAGGAACTTGTTCCATGGGGTTGACCTCTCTGTATTCATTGGAATGTTGCTCTCCTCCAGATTTTATTAGAGATACTGGTTTTATGTCATAGTGGATTTCTTTCAAGTTCAGAGCTGAAACAGATATGACTTGGAATATCAAAGGACATAATGTTATCTGATGATAGTGATTATAGGAAGGGATTATGACAGACCCATATTAACAATTAATGAAATATCCATTTTTTGCAACATTTAAATGAGGTTAATTGAAAGAATTTAAAAAAGTTGACATTTGGGGAATATTCCTTGGACTGTATCATATTGTGTTCTGAATATACCTATTTACTTGTTTCAAAAAGACCTAGGCGATTTTTGGTAAATTTTATATTTTGATGAATCATATCCTTGGAAGTTAATTTCCCTTCTGTATGGATAATTTTTTTCATGAGATGGTTCCCCTTTTTGTAAATTATTTTATTGAAAGTACCTACCTATAATGTGATTTCTAAAAGGAGATATTGTATGTATTGCCATGATGTTGTTTCACCTTATACTATGAAGCTATTGTGGATGTGGATTTATCAATTAAGGCATGGTAAATGTTCACATTTGCCCAACTAGTAATGGGCGAACTTGACCTATTTACATAAATTTTAGAATATAATATTTTTTCACATGAAGCTTTTAACATAATATTATGATACTTGTTGAGGACCAATGAAAATTCAGCGATTAATATTTAGTAAAACTTTCCAATTCTTCATAATCAGCAGGCAATTGAATTTTATTAATTTTAGACATTTCAATAAACAATCAATGAGGGAAGCATAGTTGGGACTTATTTAAAAACAAAATGAATGTATAAATAAGAAGGGAACTTGTTCACCTTGTATATAGAATACAAATATCTACATATTTATGAAGAATTATTATGTTACATAATTAACATAATTTCCATATTTATAACTCACCTATTCTCACTCTCCAAGAGCATGAGCTTCTCCAATAAGAGTAGAGGATTGGCTGTAAATAAATAAATAACATATTTCAAGATCAACTATTTATTTAATTATTGTTACCTGCTTCTGTTGTAATACTTACTTAATTATTGTCTATTCAATAATTCCTACGTTCAAACATATTTCTACTATTTATTGGGGAAGACCACTGAGGGAAGAAATCCGTGCAAACCTCTTTCAATCGACGAATCATGATTTACGTTTGATCTACAATCAATATTATGAGTTGAAGTTGAAGGGAATCGAATCTATAGTTTTTGAAATCAGCATATTTCATTCGTTATTTCGAAAAGCCAAATATGATGGTGGAGCTGTGACGTATTAGTCCCGCACTGTAGCTATCTCTCTCTGATACCTCGTCATTCTGCAGTGTTGCAGTGTGATTGGTGAGTTCAAGGACAATAGGCGTGTTGGGACTAAGACGTCGCACCAGTTTCACCAATGAATTGACAAATTTTCAAATGGCGCAGGAATTGTGTGTTTAGAAATGGACATATTCTAATTTATTTTTTTCATCGTCTTAGCATGAATGAAAAAATTCAAAATTAATTCACATGGTAGTTTTTCAGTATAGAGTTCACGATAATGTCGTTTCAAAAAATCAGTGGTCTCCCCCGGTGATTCGCCATAAACGTTCCCCCCCCCCCCTCAAGCTTAATTATTTTTGAACCGATTGAAAATTTTTAGTTTTTTTCCGCTACATCAGAAAATACAAGGTGCTCGGAACAAACGATCTACAGGGTACTATTTAATTTTTTCAAATGGAACACCCTATTTTTCATTGTAATTTTAGATTCTCCCTGAAGAGCTGATTTCATCGATGCATCACATTTGGGGTCTAGCGAAAATGATTACAGAGATATAGGGTGTTCAAAATCGGGATTTTTCAACTTTAGGATTTTTCTGTGACGATTGATATTAATAAATTAGTCGCTTGGACAGTTGAAGGAGAATATGTGTACCAAATGCCCAAATAGGTATCAGAAAATTTTACAAGGTGTTTCGTTTTATGCCGCTTTAAAGAATTAAGAAAAACTGACGAAACCGATATAGTCGCAATCGGTTATGTAAGAGTAAAAATTATGGTATATTCGACTACTCACCATGGTTGATGTATATGCCCCTTTTACAAACATGAAACCCTCTGTATGTTGAAGAATTTTTTTCTTGAATGGATGTAGATTTTCCATAGTTTCCAGTAAACAAAATTTTGAATAATCGAAAATAATGTTTGAACTTTAAAAACTCGACTGTCAAGTAAAAATTCAGCCCCACAGTAGTTGCATTTTGCAACAAAAAATAATGACAATGAATGAAACGTAGAAAACGAAATTTGAACATTATTTTTTCTTCTTGATCACTGATTCCACCTCATTCAAATTTACTTTCTTGTGAAATAAAAATATTCATTGATCACAATAAATATTCAACTCGGGCAATTTGATATATCAAACGATCTTACCTTTCCCATCAGCGAAGACATTTCCATTCAATGAGCCATACAGTTGCGATTTTCGCGACTCTCACTCGCGGACTGTCCGCAATTTATAAAAAAACCGCAACTCGCGATGACCAAAATATTGCACCTAACCTCAAATTCGTATCGATCGCTCCTCGCTCACGAAACCACAGCAGCCAAATCTGCACGGAAAATGAAAGACATGGACATAAGTGGACGTATGAGGGGGATCGTTCAGATTCGCGAATCTCACGCTTTCAGTTGCCGACGACAGGTTTTCGCTTTCCATTTGATTCGGAAGGAGACAAACTGGTTTCTTTACAGGCGAACGTGAATTGTGTGAAAAGGCTTGGAATTTTTTGCGTGCGATATATTCGATCGAATTTGCATAAAGCTAGCAGTCGCGAAGTGTGTGAAATTTTTTTGCGATTGCGATGCTTTGTAAACGAAACCGAGAAACGGTTTTCCAGATATCGCTGAACAGGGCCTTGCAAGAAATGATTGGGGTGAAATTGAAATGGGTTCCCAGACAGCACCAGATATTCCATGAATATTCATAGAATATTCTTTCTGGATATTGCGAATATTCATGAACATGCCAGGGATATACATATCAACTATGGAATATTCCCTGAATGTGCTGCTGGGGAAAATTTTGTATATTCCCGGAATATTACACAAGGAATATTCCCTATATATTCAGAATGTACCTATAATATTCTAGGAATATTCAGATAATATTCGGAATATTCCTGGAATAATACAGGAATATAAATAAATGAATATTCCGGGAATATTCCGTAATACATATTCATAATTAAAAAAAGCTGACCCAAGATGGGCTCGAACTCGGGACTTTCAGACTGTCAGATCAACGCCTTAACCACTTGGCCAGTACTCGAGTTGAATAATAATGTACATAACAATTTATTGAATTGCGTTGTTCAGAAGGGAACCATAAACACTTCCAGTTCCATATGGGCTCTCGACATGTACGATTGTACGATGATCTGATTGAGTACTTTGATCACTATCAAAATTGTGGAGACGACTTTTTGTTTTTGATCCGTGGTAACATAACCACTTCACTTTGAAATACGATAGACTTCTACCACAGATTTCAAAATCAATGTTCAATACTCACATCTATAAAATTGTGATTGGTTAATTTTCGTACTTTACAATTTAATTGAAACACATGGGAATATTATTGAAATATTCCATGAATATACAAGAACAGAATATTCAATTGGGAATATTCCTGGAATATTCATACCTGAATATTCCCTGCACTATCCAACTGGAATATTATAGGAATATTCACTTCAGAATATTCCTTCTGGAATATTCCATGTATATTCATTTTGGAATATTACTAGAATATTCACATTTGAATATTCCTTGAATGTTCCAGAGGCACGTATATATTCTAAGAATATTCGAAGGATATTCGGAATATATTCTTCCCTTTTAGCATATTTAGAGAATATTCTAGGAATATCCAGTGCTGTCTGGGTTGTAATGTATCAAATAATATTACTGGAAAGTTTGTTTGCATGCAGGGATTTATGTGAAGGGTTGATTTTGCAAACGGTAACGATTAATATTAAAGTATATCATATACATGGTGAGTCAAAAATGTGTAACCAGTTTTCTGGATGTGATAGTTCACTGAAAAATAAGTATAGTTTGGTAAATAAACTAATGGCCCAAAATGTGTATCAAGGGAGATATATCCTTCCAAAGTTAATTTAACTAAAATAATTTTTCCGCATAAGTACTAAACAGTAAAAGCCAACAAATTGAAATTTCCTGCATAAATGTGTGTTAATGGAATACAGTTTTTTGATACACTTCTACATTTCTGGCATAGTTATAATGGGAGTTTTTAGAGGGGGGAAACTTTTCGACTTGAATAGGGACACCCAGTATATTATTCCATATTCAAGTAGAGTTCATTGTTACAAATTTAACAACGGGTTTGATGGGATTTTTTTCAAACGGCTACAAAGGTATGACAACAAATGAAACGATTCAATAAAAAATTCATGATTAGATTTTTTTTTTCGTTTGTGAAGTTTTTAGATTTTATTAATATAACACGTATGAAATCCAACGAAAAGATAATAATTAGAACCTCAACTTCTCATTATGTCGTCCATTCTGCTGCAAACATTTCCTAGCTCTTTTGATAACGTTCATCATTGTGACCCTATGTATCACGTTGCGATCAATTAGTGCATATAAATTCGTGATTTTCTCTTTCATTTCTTCCATATTCACAAATTGGCGACCCATAAACCTGTTGTTTCAATTACCCACACAAATAAAAATCAAGCGGGGTGAGGTCTGGCGACCGAGCTGGCCAGTTGCTATCACCATCGAGACAATTGATGGTTATTAGATTTTCTTTAAACCGATGGCGAAGATAATCCTTTACGGGTCTGTAGTTATGTGCAGGACACCCATCATTCGATTTCAATCTTGTTATATTGATAAAATCTAATCATATAATTTTTTTATTGAATCGTTTTATTTTTTGCCATATCTTCGTAGTCGTTTGAAAAAATCCCAAAGTTGAGGTGCACTTCGGTGTGACCCTGTATACCTACGATTTATTCAATATCATATTTCGAGTGAGCATCATCAAATATACTGGGTGACCAAATTTCAAGTCATTCGATCGCGCGGTTGATTTTTTACAGGAGGGGACATTTTAGCTGGGACACGGTGTATACTCTTTCTGTGGAACTAATGAGCGATTTTTGATTGTCACCAGAGATTATAATGTTAGTATCATTTGCGTAACAAATAATCTTAACATTTGGAATATTTTCGACACAATATGGTCATTCGCAAATATGTTGAAAAGTAGAGGAACCAGAACTGATCCCTGTGGAACACCCTGTGTGATGCTACAAGGACTACGAATATCATTCAGTAAAACAACCTGATTTCTATTGAAAAAATTTCAGAGGAATATGCCTTATTCCATATCTTTCAAGTACATCGAAAGCTTATTAATATATATATTAGATTTAGATAGGGGAGAGAAGGTGAGAGATACAGTGCCTTTCTGTAATGCCTCCCCCCCCCCCCTTATATCTTTTGAACTGGTCAACGAAAAAAATTGAAACGGTGTAATGAAATTGATGCATGAACACTATATTTTGGAGTAAAATTGCAAGATGAAAATCTCAAGATGGCGACTGGGCCCCATCTGGGAAAAAATTAAATGAAGCTCCTGACGAATACTTCACAACCCTAGTATATAAAGTCAATATCTTCATCTACTACAAAATGGCGAAACATTCAATAGTTGTCTGAATCACATTATTACTCCATACAAGTTAGAAACATATTCGGATAATACTTTTCCTGGTCGTTGGATTGGACGTCGAGGTCCTACGGAACGGCCAGTCCGCTCGCCAGATTTGACACCTTTAGACGTTTTTTTTATGGAGCTATTTGAAGCAAAATGTGTACGAAACTGCACCTGCTGCAATATCAAAACGACAGAGAATGATAAATATTTGTAGAAATATCGACGTAACTGTGTTCTAAAGTGTTCGGCATGAAATATCGGATAGGTTGTTCTTATGTCAAGAAGTTCCAGGCAACCATTTCAAGCATCTTCTGAACTGAATTCAGTTTATTTTCTCAAATTATACAGTCTGTCCCACTTACCATGCTCACCATGGGTATCTTTTTAACGGTGAGAGATACGAGGTCGGTTAAATGACACCAAATGTGGAGTTTGTCAAGGCCAACTATAATGAAAAAAATATTTTGATAAAATCGTTTTTGTTTTATACGCAAAAAAACAGATTTTGATCATTTTCATGTCTCCTCCATAACTTCTTTATTCATGAAAATATTCAAATAGGAATTTCACATTCTCATGGCAGTTTTTCTTCTTTTTCTCTTACAGATGATATGTCGCAGTAATAGTTTTGTGTTGATAACAACGGAGTTATCATCATTTATACAAAAACAAAAAATTATTTGGAAGCCGCCATCTTGAATTTATAAATTGTTACAAAAAAATCATGATCTCCGACCTCAAAAACCCCCACTTACCAATTTTGAATGGAATCGGACCAAATCTTGTCCGCCATCTTGGAGCAGCCATTTTTTTAAATTTCAACAAAAATTCCATAACTCCGATTAACTTGAAATTTGGCAGGTGTTCATAATTTCGGTGACAATACATTATGGAATGTTTGTTGAAATTAAAGAAAATGACTGCTCCAAGATGGCGGACAAGATTTGGTCCGATTCCATTCAATATTGGTAAGTGGGGGTTTTTGAGGTCAGAGATCATGATTTTTTTGTTAAAATTCATAAATTCAAGATGGCGGCTTCCAAATAATGTTTTGTTTTTGTATAAATGACGATAACTCCGTTGTTATCAACACTAAACTATTACTGCGACATATCATAATTATGTGAGAGAAAAAAGAGTTAGTCGTAACTAAGTCATAGTGAGCTATGACCTACATTTGAAAAATTAAAGTTGGTGCTGATATCTCAAATTCTAGGAGAGTTGGTATAAATTTCATATTTTTTTCGAAATCACTTTGAAAAACTGCCATGAGAATGTGAAATTCCTATTTGAATATTTTCATGAATAAAGAATAAGTTATGGAGGAGACATGAAAATGATCAAAATCTGTTTTTTGCGTATAAAACAAAAACGACTAGATTTTATCGAAATATTTTTTCACATTATAGTTGGCCTTGACAAACTCCACATTTGGTGTCATTTAACCGACCTCGTATCTCTCACCGTTAAAAAGATACCCATGGTGAGCATGGTAAGTGGGACACACTGTATAGTAAACGTCGATGTATTCAGGCAAATAATAAATTTTCCGCCATTTTGTAGTAGGTGTAGATGTATCACAAAACCCTCCTTTCCATTTATTTTTTTCCCTGATGGCGCCGAGTCTTGAAAATTTCTGTCAATTTCACTTCCAAATATAGTATTCATGCATCAAATTTATTACCTTAGAGGTTTCAATTTTTTT